CACCAATCTCCTGAAACTCGCGAAGCCTCTCAAACCCTAAATCACAAGTCGAGATCGATGGCGTCCTTCGCTCGCCGAGCCATGAGCCTATCTCAGATTCCATCTGCTCGTGCACCCGCCGCCTCTGTTTGTCAGCGCCGTGGCCTCGCCGGCGCCGCTGGTACTCCCTTTTTCCCCCTTCCTTCTCTTTCGACCTTTTTTTGGATCTATGATTGTTTCGGAATCCATTTTGGGTTCGTAATTTCTTTGCCTTCTTCACGGTCTCGAATCGTCTTCTTAAGAATTCCTGTTGAACAAGTACAAGTGTATCGATGAACAACTTTGCGAAGATTATGGAATCCATTGTTGGATTTTCCTGTTGAATCAGTGTATCTTAAATAATAATTTGTGAATTTGCCTACACTGTGCAGATCACCATGGATCTACCAAGGTTGACTTCTGGAAACAGCCCACGAACCCAGGAAACTGGAAAGAAGAGCATGTACGTTATCATCATATATTCTTTCTGTTTTGTGGAATTTATGAATCTTTGATTGATTGATTGGTGCTTTGATGTTTGGCACCAAAGTTGAGTTGATTCCTTCTTCCCTGACCAATCTGCAGTTTGTGCTCATTTCGCTGTCCGGATGGGGCTTGCTTTTCTACAGTGGATACAAGCTCTTCACCGGCGGGAAAGAAGAGGTACTTGCTCTTCTTCCTTATCAAAGCTGCTATGTGTTGCTCCCCCTTACATAGCTCTTTTTATCTTTGCAGAAGCCTGTCGAGGGTACTCAGTGAATTTTGTTTGTCACCCGGAAGACGTTTTATGGAGAGACCTCTCATTCTCGTGCATTTGCTTTCTGTTTCAGCACATTGTGACTGGTCTTGTATCAAAGCCAGCATTTAGTTCTGACAACCTTTGTGTTTCATTTGAAAATAATATGCATCACTTTGTGTTTCATTGTGACTGGTCTTTTGAAAATAATATGCATCACTTTTGAGATATACCAATTTTGGTTGAAAGTGTTTCTCAGCATGTACCTTTCTAGTACAGATTACAGAGCATTTCCTTGTTCAGCATTAGCTGCTACATCTCCTTGGACCATGTTGTCTGATCCAAATGTCTATAGTTGCTCTTGTCTACAGCTGTTTTGTAATTCACCTTCCTTGACATATTTCTTGTGGTAATTCTTCAGAGGGCGAAGTATACTATTCCCGTGGCTTCTCGCAGCTTGCGTTTTGTTAATATTGTTGTTGGTATGGTTCATCACCATTTGTGTGAGCTTTATCACATTTTCACCTTTTTTTTAAATAATTTGGTGTAGTTTAATGGTATGGAATTAGATTAAGAGGCATGTTCTTGTAGAAATGCACTTTTGTTTTTGTGGAAATTTAAGGCTAGACCTTTTCTAGGTCGCTTAATTCCTTTCTTTTCAGTTGTTTGTTTCTTACTCTGTCTCTCCAGTCACATAACAGGTGTAACAATCTATTTATTAAGGGGGGAAAAGGGCAAGATCCACCATACAATACAGGTTTTGCAGATGGTTTTGCAGAAGAATCAAGCAAGTTAGAGAAATGGATTCAAATGGGTTGGGTGTTGGTGGTGAAATCGAGGCAATTCTGGCAGTTACAATCAGAGAAACGGCAGAGTTTGCAGCCGAAGCAGACGCAGGAAGTGCAGCCTTTGCAAGACGGAGAACGAGTGCATCCTCTGTAAACTTTCCTACTCCCTCTCTCTTCCTCCTCCTCGCATGTTATCCTGCATCCATCACTCCACATTCATTCTCTCTATACATCATATCATCAAGTAGAAACAAGAAAGAAACAGGCTCATCATCACTCACTTGTCGTATGGATAATCGCAACACTTCCAATTGGGATCAGCCATTGCATCATGGTGCGTCCGGCATTGCCCTCTGCTTCTCAGCCTGAACCTCCTCTCCTTCCTGCATTTGCTGCACCTGACAAACTCGTCCCGATGGGTGACACCTTTGGATCCGTTGGAGTTCTTCAGAGCTTGGTTGTAGTATCTGAGCAGCACTGTCTTTGAAAGCGGAACCTTGTCTCCCCCAATGAAGACCCACACGTTGTTCCTCCAGTTCCTCGAGGTTTCTCTCTCAGAATGCTTCTCAAAGGCAGCAGGCGTTAACTTGTCTACGATCATAGATAGATTAAAAGCTTTCAAGATCGCTTTCTTTGAAAGAAAGTTGAATTTGTGGGTTAAACAAAAACTAATGGCAATGTGAGATTATCCTAGACTGCATGAAGCATATTACATCATGATCAAGCAGTAACCAAAGGCAAGTAAAAGCAGCCACGACGATCCATCCAACAAAAAGAGAAACAATGTTTGCAACGCATCCCTGCCACTATTATCATGGCATTATATATACGTGAAGTAGAGAAATTGACATGCATTGATGCATATATGAAAACCCATTTAGGTAAAAAAAAAACATCACCAAGAAGAAAGGAGAGACCTTCATGGCAATTGGGAGTGCATTGGCAGGAGATTTGGAGGTCTCCATCGGAGAAAACCCTAAGCCTAGCAATGGCGTCTCCGTAACGGTGGCTGGTGCAGCCACACATGACCTCCACGTGATCATCTCCCACAATGACCTCACTTATCTCTCGCAGCTCTTCCTCGCTGAACAGCTCCTTGGACGTCCCGCATTGTCTCTCCATCGCCGATGGATCTTGACAAGAACAAGACCTCTCCTAAACAAGTAATGTGGGATTTATACAGCAGGACCTAAATCGTTAAGGATAAGAAGGTAATTTTCGACATGAACAGAAGAGAAAAAGCCCTAAAGGTACTAGCTTAGCAGGGATCTGAAAATTATGTCCAAACTCAAAAGGTTGCAACAGCTTTTGGAGTAAAACAAAAAAAG